TTGGCTACTTTGTATTGTGAATCATTCAAAAAAGCAATTTAGTCTTAACTTCAGAGAAAATGGGTGGGGCTATACTGCTGTAGGCTGAGTAGGTGGATATATGTAAATCAATTCGTTTTTGTGACATCACAAAAACAATGAATTCAAAACAAGCTTTTTTTGCAGCTTAGTTTTCCTACATGAACCAAATGGACTGGTTAGTAAATGGTATATATTTTTACATACCATTTTATTTAAAAAAGTGACTTAATTTTTCATGATATCAGCCCTTTAATAACGATTTCTCAAGGCTGTTGAGTGTCACAAACCACCATTATGGCTAAGCATACAAAATAATAGGAATATGTTTCACACTTCATTGTTACTCTGCTGAAACAAATCAATAAAAAGCGTTTCCATAGTGATATGAAGTTGCATTCTGAGTGCGCACCCAGGCTCGCTTTGAAAACAGCCGCAGCGCACCCAACAATAATGGCAGCATAGAGCTTCTATACAGTGATAGAGAACACGGTAGCACACAGAAAGCTCCAACTCCACATACTGATCCATTTTAAGGCAGGAGAAGAGATGGGATGAAATGAAAGGGCAGAGTGGGGAGAGCTGAGCGTAAGTATGATCAGGCCTCCTCTCCCTCAGGCTCTGTGCTAAATAGGCCACAGGGCCACTGGCTCCGCTAGCAACACACCAGCTCCAGTGGGCGAACTAGGAGAGCACATATTTGGCTCTGCTTTGCACTTCACAGAGATGCCTCTGCTAAATAATTCATATCTCAAGCAGTTATTAGGGAGCGCTTACTGGAAACGTAGCGCCCTGCCTGGCTGCCCACGGCTCGCGTGAGGTGAAGCGCTAGCTTAGCTTAGCTCCAGTGGTGCTTGCAGTTGGAACTCCTTAACATGTACAGGAGCAGGGGCATAGCCAAGGGGTGGTCACCCCTCTGGTCAGCCCAGTTATGCAAAATGAGTCACTCAGCCATCATCAATAAAGCATTCACAAAAGTTGTCTTACCCACAAACCCTGTGTGAATGGTTATGTTTGTGGTGAAAATTTGTCATGATGGCAGTTACTGATCAGCTGTAAGAGTCTGATTGTGCAGCACTCTAATACTGCTCTGCTAAAACTGCTCTGCTGAACAAACAGTGAGAATGCTGGTCAAAACTGTAACACTAGTCTTGCTGATGAAGCAGCAAACATGGGTTTCATATATTACCAAAACACAGTAAAACCCTTGAAATCCCAGGCTTATTAAATACTACAGTAACTATAGGGACAACAGGGACAGGCTGAGTTATTCTTAGCTTACAGAAGTGTGTAATAAAACTTGAGGCCCATCGGTGGGCCCAGGCCAATTAAGGGGTTAACCACTTAATATCCCAGACTTATTACATACCAAGGCTTATTATTCAGCTTACATGTATGACTGTGTGTGTGTGTGTGTATGAGTGAGTGAGTGATGGTAGGAATGCATGTTTATTTAATTTTTTTATTGTATTTTATTTTATTTTATTTTATTTTATTTTCTTCACTACATGTAAATGTCTGTCTGATACTGTGCACTGTGAGCTCCTGTAACCAAAACCAAATTCCTTGTATGTGTAAGCAAACCTGGCCAATAAAGCTTGATTCTGATTCTGATTCTGATTATCATTAGACATTCTCTGAGTCCTGCAGGGGAACAGGAGAGTAGACATAGAAAATTAATAAATGATTATAGAAAATATATTGTTTGGTCAGACAGCTGTATTGTGACCATAGCAGTGTAAATCATGTAAGTTAGCAATATTTATGTATCTTGAAATGTATCCAGATTGTTATTTGAATTAGCTATATTGTTGTTATTATTTGAAGGAAACTCTGTCCATTTGGAGATCAGTCAGCTTCATTTAACTGACTCAAAACGGCTAACCCCATTTGATATTTACCAGAGGAAACCCTCAGGCCTTGTAGACTCTCAGAGAAGGCCTAATGACTCCTGGGAGCTAAAAATGTGTGTCTGTAAGCTTTAGTTCACCTTTCCTTCGAAGAATCATTATGTTGTTGTTTGAATCACAACATAAAAAGGAACTAACAGAGATCAACCAATCATGTTTTTCCCAATTGGTCAGACCAAGTTTGTGAGAAAAAAAGTCACTCTAGGCCAGGGGTGCTCAATCCTGGTCCTGGAAATCCACAAACCTGAAGAGTTTAGCTCTAACCCAAATCTAGCACACCTGATCCAGGTAATGAAGGCCTTCAGGGGCATCTGTATATTAGAGCCAGGTGTGATGGATCTGAACTCTCCAGGGTGGTATATATACAGGACCAGGAATGAGCACCCCTGCTCCAGGCCTTCAGGAAGTTTTAGACATATCACTGACTGTGAATACGAGCCGTAAACTAACCAGGTTTCAGTCAGTTGTTAGAACAGGAAAACATGGTGGGAGCTGTACGCCAGGACTCTTTACTGAGTCACTGTAAAACTGCAACATACAAGGTGAAATATGTTAATGTCTATTACAAACTTCAAATCAAACATATGGGATGTCATTTACAAGCTTCAGATGTCTGTGTTTAATCTAGAATAGGCAAAACCAGTTAGCTTTGTGCAAACATATTGTTGTAAGTTCCATAGAGGTGCTAGCAGAAATTAGCATTGTCATAAAACTCCTAGCTATAATAGTCGTGGTTCGCCACTGAACATGCTAAAACAGCTAAACTCATTGAGTATTTTCATGTATAGAAGTTCAAACCTTGTTTGAACCACTATATTAACGTTGTCTGCGTTGATTATATGACATTGTGCTTTGGAAGCCCTGAGGAATTTAGATGGCAGCAATTTGTGTGCTGAAGCTAATCAGGCTGCACTACATGCTGTCAGTAATTGCAAGCTCCACCTGTCTACTGGCAGGAGGATCTCCGCCGTCATCAGCCGGCTCCCGCTGACTCGGTGTGTGATTGATACTCGTGATTGATGTTATTTTAAAACCATCGACTCCTCTCATGGATCTGAATCCGTGTCACCCCATGCGTCAGGAAAGCTTTGTGCAGCAGGATTTTGATTAAAGGCCCATCAATCATCGTTTGTTGGAGATTGCATTTGTTCTTTTCTTTCAAGACTCTCAGTGGCATCCCCTCAGCCCTCTGTTGATTTGAAGAAGACCCAGGCGTCAGGTGTGTGTGGTCGGGGGTCTGATCATGTGTTTCCAGATGACAGTCAGGGTAAAGGAGGGAGCACCGCAGAGGTTAAAGGGTGTAGTGGTGTGAGAGCATTGCGGAACTGATCTCAAAACAGGACGGGACCTGCCTCAGTACCAGATGTCTCAAGTTCAGCAAAAACATCTAATCATAAGACAACTTAATATGAAATCGAATAAAACTGAAAATACAAAGTTGGAAGTGAATGTTGTGGATTCTGATTTTTTTCCTGCCCAAACATTTTTGACTGCCCGGCTGTACCAAACCTCCAGCAACAGGCAGTGGTCGATAGCTAGCCATGACAAGGATTTTAATAAATTTATTAACGAATTAACAATTATTGAAGGATGATTTAAGTCTACTTCAATCAATTGTGTTTAAAGGGGAATTCCACAATTTCTTTTTCCAAATATTCTGTATACATTGTTGAGATCTAAAGAGAGTCATTCAGACTGGCTTGTAGTAAAATGATGCACTGTAGAGAAACCTAGAGTCAGATTTCTTTACAGTGGTGGTGATAGGAACCAGAGGTTTCAACATCAACAACACAGACATAACCATTTTAATTACTATGCAAAACCACCAGTGAACCTACAAGTAAGTTCTGAGTTTTATATGTAATATTAGTGATGTTAGATCGCCAATAGAAGTGGTAGATAGAAGTGTTAAATCTGAAGAATCTGAAGAAGTCTTAACACTTGTGTGGTGTTGGGGTCTGTGGGACCCATTTTCAATGTTTACTAAAAGAAACAATGATGCAATTTATTATTATGTTAACCTCAGATTCTTTGGCCTTTGCTCATTTTCAGTGAAGAACATATAACTATATAAATAACCCATTTTCAGTGTCTTCACTCTGTTCACCCCCCTATACATTTATATTACACGTGGTGTTGGGTGAACCTGCGGGGAATAAAAGTGTGGAGGTGCTGTGTCCTTCACTCTGTTCTCCTCCTACATGGCCTGCTGTTAGTGTATGTGTGTCTGTGTGTTTGTATATGTGTGTGTGAAAGTGGACAACATGGACAGGCTGCTGACTGGCTACAGCTGCTAAAGGAGAACCCTACGCTGGCCACTTGTGATATTTTAAACATCTGGCATTTTTACATAAATTGTTATGGCTGTATTGATTTAAAAAAAAAAAAAACAATAATGCTGTGGGTCCACCAGACCACTGAGTAACAAATGCATCAACACCACACAAGTTTTCTTCAGGTACTGTTTTGCTATACAGTACCCTGCATGTACCTGTCCACAATGAATAGATTTAAAAAAGCATACATTTGACACCAAGACCATCTCAAAACTACTGAAAAACAATGTACCAGGAATCAGGCAGCATATTTGTAATCATTTCATGTCATAACTGTCTGTGAAGCTGCTTTTAGAGACGTTAAAACTCTGGACGTCTGGTTCCTATCATCACCACTAGGAACAATTCTTACTCTTTAGAATGAAACATTTCACACCAAACCACTTTCAATGACTTTGTTTACACCTTAATTTTGAAAAATTGGTGGAATTCCTGTTTAAGCTTACTTGACATGTTCTCACTTGTTCATCTATTCATTATATTTCTTTATGGCATCTAAAATGATGTTCTTTCTTGGTGTTTATGGGTTTAGAGTTATGATGGCATATTACTGAATTTTGTTCTTTCAAAGTATTCAGCTTGTATGTTTTTCAGCATTTTAATAGGACTTTTATTTGCCCTGTTTCTTATGTGACTATGTATTTTCATAAGTACCTGAGATGTCTCTGAGGTGTAGAGCAGGTCATTTCACCGGTCTTCACTTTGATATACAGTAATCATGGACAGACGACTTTGCTATTGTACTTCTGATGTATTTTCATACAGAATGATAGGCGATTTACACTGTAAGAACAAAATTACACAAAATAGAGCCCATGCACTGCACTCAAAACATCAATGAGTTATTACAATGTGTTATACAGATACATAAAACATGACCATGTCAAAAATACTTACCTCTCAAATAGAGTTTAAACAAAGCTGGAAGCAGATTCTGGCTTCCTGTTTTGTTTGCTTGTACTTTTTTTCTTAAACAGAAGGCTACTCACACACAGTCACTTTGACATGCAGTAGAATAGACGCTCTCCGTTTTCTCATGGAAAAAGTCCCGAGTGTGTGCCGCTCGATCGATTGTGTGCACACGTTTTGAGTGACCTTTCGCTGAGATGTCTCACTTTTCTCCTCGCTTTCCCCCAGTGCTGTGACTCGGGCTCCGCTCCTTTCTTCTGGGCTGGTGCTCGGACACTCAGGGCGACGGAGGCGTCTTGAGGGAATTGCAGGAGCCTTGACTTCCACCAGCATTTCCCTGACCACTCCACTGGAACAGAGAGGAGAGGAAAGGGGGGGTTAGGTTAGGGCAGATTGCTGCCACCAGTTTATACCAGTGGGACTAGGTCGGGCCAGGACAGTTAGAGCCACATACACAAAAATAAGCAGATGTTTCCACAAATTTCTGTGTGAATACAGTCTCTGCAGGCCCTCTTTCCAGCTCTTAAAAACACACCATATCATAATTACATCAAATATATATATATATATGAAAAATTATGTAAACATGCTCTCATGGGACCAGACGTGATCGCTTATTTTGATACTGGATGGTGCAGCTAACAAGGCAACGCCCACAGGCTTTCCCTCTAATCCTGCCCTCAAATTCCTCCAGTCTCTGCTGTTTTAATGCCCAAGTATAACCAAAAACACAGGCAAAACATCTCCCCAGATAGTGAAACAGTGTCTGCAAATGTACACTGAACAAAATGATATCTTAAGCCCTATTTGAACAGGATTAGTTTTATATGGAGAGGTGGGGTATTTAATAGATTTTAGTCCCGTCCGAATGCAACCATGTCAGTCATTTTTACGGACTGCAGACTCCAGTTCCAGTGCCTTTTACCTTCTATAAAATGGGCCATAAAAAGAACCTCAGGTTATATTAATCCAGAATCATCATGTCGGTACAAACGCTACCGGAAAATCTACTTCTTATTTTTAATACTGTACAAGATGTACGATAAAAACACAGATAAAAATACAAATAAATGCTCCCCCCAAACTCTATCTCCCTCCCACCCATCTGACCTCAGTTGGAAAACTGACACAACAAAATCAAAGATGTATATACATCCATATACATATATATATATATATATATATATATATATATATATATATATATATATATACACACACACACTCACATGTATGTCTTCATGCCCCACCAACACGTTTAAAAAAAATTATATATATACTGGAAACAGAGTGATGACATAAAGAGATTAATCTACTGTGCTATCCTAGCATGCATTACAGTATGGATACTCTATATCCGTTACATTGGAAATGGAGTTTCTTAAGTATGGAGGCACTGGAAAAAGCACAAATCAAGTTGATATATAACTTTATTGTCCTGTCTCATGTGTACAACTCAGAACATGCAAAAATGACAGAAATGAACTTTGATTTTATGCTGTGAAGTTGACTGTTTGCTGTGAATTCCTAGTTAATTGTGATGCTCATGATACACTGCATTCAGACAGAAAGGTAAGTAATTAGGGTAAATTAAATGTTTTAACATCTTTTCCTCTATTTTTGGAGTGAAGGTGGCTCGTAAATTGCGTAGCCGCTCCCATCGCTGTCATTTATAATGAGAATTCTTATCCTGTGCGAATCGCACAGAAACACTACAGATGTGCTGAGGTAAACTGGCATTACCTCACCTCCCCATGAAAAAACTAATCTCATCCAAACAGGGCTTCAGAAGGTAAAAAATCATCTTACATTTAGTCAATCTAATCTAATCTATCTAATATTATAAGACTGGTAAAAATATTATAAGAATATTCACTCTTTTTTTGACATTTTTACTTGTTACTTTCACTAAGTAATTGTATCTAGTCTTATTCCACTAGCAGATAATTTTACTTGTTTTAAGAAATAATGCAGTGCATTTTACTTGTGTCATGAAATAATGCCTGAAGCAAGCAAAATGATCTGTGTGGAATAAGACATTAAAAATTATATAATATATAATATATATTATAATATTCTGACAACTTATCTCTTAATAATTATTAGAAATATTAACTAGATTTAAGATATTTTTACTTGCCGAAATATAATTTTTTGCACTGTAGCAGACTGTTCTTTTCCCATCACATTTACTCTGGCTTATCATCACAACTGTGAGGCCACATGTAGCCACTGCTGACACACTTTTAACTTTTAGAACCTGTCCAGCACTGTTTTCTGAGGCCAAAGTGCACCTCTTGCAGCTAACATGTTCTCCACTGATGCAAAACATCTACATGCTTAATTGGAGTCTTATTTGGGGGACTTTCAGGCAAAATATCATATCCAGGGTGCTAAATATAGGCCTGTTGTCAGGTGGACATTTCAACAAACACTGTTTTCTCTACATTGAGCTCCACTTTCAGGAGGGGTTGGAATTGTTTAGGCATTTCAAGCTTAGACTGTCAACTGTGGAGGAAGGGGCGTGGTTGAGCGTCACATGCAGGATGGAGAGCCAGTCATGCCAACCCAGCGGGCTGAATAGCTGATAAGATTCACCTGTGCCTTGTTTCTGCCAGCCTACTTATAGCCATGTCTTTTCTCAGTAGGTGGCAGAGCCCAGAGAGAGAAGGAGACCAGTGGTGGCTCGAGAAATAACAAAGACTGAAAAGTCTCTGAATGTGCTCTTTAATTTTGGATGCTGGCTGGAAAGCTGAGTGATTTGTGTTGTGTTCAGAGTAAAAGGAAAACTCTGTGTCCCCACAACCTGCTCCCAGTGTCCTCACTCCTCCCAGCATCCCAAAGATCTCCCACCAAAATTCCAAAATGGTTGTTCCCAGATCTGTATTCTCGTTACAAGAATATGCCTATATTTATTTAGTTATGACACTGACCGCTCTGAAATGTAAACAGCATAGCAAACCTTTTAGCCCAGGCCTCCTAAGGGACATCGCACCTCTCATTGTGGGCTTCTGTGCACCACTATGATTATTTATCAAGCTAAATGCTAGCAAGGAGCATGCAACTTCCCTCTCTGCACACCATGACAACAATCAGGCCAAGATAGGCTTGCTTGTTTGCCAACCGTGCAACCACTTCATTACACGTCTTTATTACAAGTCTGTTTTTATTGAAGCTTTTGCACATAAAAATATTTGTGGTTGGTCATTTTGCAAGTCAGTCAAATGTTCCCTGGTTGTGGCTTATGAACAGTATGTCAGCAAAGTCTTACAGAGTTTGCAGTAGAAATGCTTTCCACACTAATAAACCACTTATCCTCCTGCATTTTGCATCTGCCACACTGTCCTCAACTGGTTGACAGCTGCCCACAGTGTGGAGATTCATCAGCTGGCTACTGAACTAGACTGTGCTACCCCTACTGGGCAGTCAGTTCCACTCTTCTCCCAGCTGTGACGTCATGCAGAATAAGTGCACCAGAGCTTAGGGGATTCAATCTAATTCCTCTACACAAAAAGGCAGAGGGGAGAGGAGCTGGGAAATAATTACCAACTCAGCGCTTTAACTCAATTTGTCAAAATGAACCCCTCAGTGCTGGACATCCCCAGCGGGTGTCATTTCAGCCCTGATGTTAAATCAGTCCTCAGCCTTGCGGGACACACCCATGATAGCCCTTCCTTGGTCCTCTTAGTGCAGCGAATAACATCTCTAATTGAATTTGCTTCCTTTTCCTGGCTGCAGACTGAGTCCTCTTGGCCTTCTGGGCTGAGGTGAGCTTTTTCATAAGCCTTTATATGAATAGAGCTCTAACAGGGAGTCCGGACTCCCCTGTACACAAATGCAGCAATAAAACTGCTTTTGTTCACTGAAGAATGGAAAGGTTCAGAGCGTTTAACCTTGGCTGAAATGGCCAGGGATTTGAATTATTGAGGAACACAGTCTGCGGTCCTGCAAGGCTGCAACTAAGATTTCTAAAAGCAAGTAATGCGCGAAAAGCCTGCAAGAGGGAAGATGAAAATATGATGTGCTAGTTCCTAAAAAGAGTCCTTGTGGGCCTCTGTGGGGTTAAAACAGCTCTATGGTAAACACCCAACGGCCGTTACGTCTGTGTCGAGTCATCCACCTTCCTTACAGCTGACAGCATTCATCATTTTAAATATACTTTACTATAATTCTTCCTCCCAAAGGCACTATGGATATATAAAAGAATGGAGCAACAGAAGGTCAATGCACTAAACAATGTACCAGCTTCTTAAATTCTACTTCGTCTTTTGGAGCTGGTTTACAGTGTACAGCTGTTTATGCAGGTGTTCCTGAACTCTTTGGTGGAGCAAACTGGATTTGTTTCTTAAGTTCAGTTTTTACGCCAGATGCACTATGCTGTGACCACCCTTCTTCCAGTTAATTTCCAGGCAAATGGACATTAAGTGTCACGCTTCCTGGTTCTCATTCGGACTCTCACTTCATGAAGAACTCCAACTCCCAAGATCCCTCAGTTTGTCTTGTGACTCCATCAACCAATCACCAGTTAACCAGCAGATCCAAGTCACCTGAATACTGATTGTCGTCACCTGTAGAACAGTGTATATAAGTCCGTCTGTTTCATTGTTATGTTGTGAAGTATTGCCCTGTTCTGTTGGTGCATACTGAGCTGTTCTCTTGTCTCTTATCCCCTTTATGACCCTGCTTGGTTTCTCTTTGTCATTTTTCAGATTCTCCCCTGTTGCCTACGTTAACCTGTTTATTAGATCTTTTGGTTTCAACTCTCACTTGTTTACGCTTTCACCTGCTCCCAGGCGTTGTGATTTGCTTTACTGGTTTTTGATCCGGTCTGGTGTTCACACTGTTTTTCATGTCAATCCTTTTTTCAATAAACCTCCAGGTTTATTTTATGTCTGTAAGTGTCTAATTCGCCAACTCAGCGTTACATTAAGTACAAGTTATTAATTTTTCAGCTCCAGGAAAAAAAGACACAGAAACCTCAAAAACTAAATTTAATACAAAATGTACAGCATTTATTGTGTCCACACTTTGCCTTTATTACAGCTTCCATTCTTCTCAGGAGACTTGCTATCAGTTTTGCAGAGAAATCCTCAGTTCTACTGGGATAGGATTAGTTGTCTATGGGGAGGTGGGGTAATGTCAGTTTACCACAAGACTCCTGTAATGTTTTTGACTGATTCTTATGGCTTATGAAATCTCAGTATAAATGACAGAGATGGGAGTGGCAGCTCAATTTCTGGACTGCCTTTACTCCAGAAAGAGGTAGAAAACGTCTAGAACATACGGAGCCCCGCAGGTGACATCGTGTACAAATAAAATAATGTGTGGCCACAACTTAGTAAGGTGTGGGAACAAGATAATTAATGATCCCACACCTTTCTAAGTCTAAGTCTTAATTATCCCATTCCCACACCTTACTAAGTTGTGGCCACACATTATTTTTATTTATACAGGATGCCAGCAGCGCTCCGTGATAACATTTATTTTAGCCATTATTTAGTTCATCCTAACCATTTGCCTTGCTGTCTTTAGTGAATGTGCGTAATTAGCATCACCATTAGCTTGGAAATTCACAACAAACAGTGAACTTCACCACATAAAATCAAATGTTTTTCTGCAACTTTTTACTTTTTGAGTTGCACATATGAGAGAGGACAGTAACGTCACATATCTTTATTTTAGCCAAAGAGAACACAGGATTAATACAATCAGAAGTTATTTCTACTGTTTGTTTTATGGAAGGTAAAAAGTAATCTTTCCTGACTGAGTGCACAGTTGGTAAAACATCTGACATGATGTATTTGGACGGGACTAAAATCACTGAGAAATGCCAGTATAATTGACATTATCCTGCCTCCCAGTGTAAAACTAATCCTGTCCATATAGAGCTTTAGAAGTTGCGTTTTCCGCTTCTCACAATCCGAGTAATTCCAAACACATTCAGTGATGTTGAACTTGGGCTCTGGGCTGGTCAGTCCATTCTTCTAAGAACACCAGCAGCTTTTCTGTTTCTTTTTTCTCAGTGAGGTTCTTCTTGACAGCTACACATCCTTTTAGACCCATAGCGCTGAGTCGTCTTCTCACAGTGGAAGGATGGACAGAAACACCTGTGGAGCTGTTTAGATCTGACCAAGAATGGAGTTGACTTTCTCCTTTCTCTCAAAGATGAAAGTGCTGTTAATCTAATGGGGACAGTTTGGTGGTCTAACAGGTCTTGCACAGCTCTTCCCATTTACTCTATAACCTTTAATCATTTTTAACTCTAGTCATTTAGATGGTAAATATACTTTCAGCACATTTTCAAGGCTTGTTTTTATCTGTCTAGTTGCTATGGCCACTGCCAACGTTAAAGCCTCACATCAGCACACCTTTCAGACCCTAATTTATGCAGAGAAAAGCTCAAACTTTAGTAAGTTGAGCAGAATATGTAATCAGTTGCAGTTCCAATCTCTCCACCTATTTTCTCTGCCATTCTCCCACATTTTGTGCAATACTCCCTTATATGCATATGCATGAGAGAAAAACATGCGTGTTGAGTTTTTTCCATGCATACAACCTATAAACTCCACTCAGGCTGGTGCGTCAATTTCATATAACACATATACCTAATCAGACTGGTCAAACATGCACAAACATCCATTTGAACTGAAACTGAGACCACATGCAAACATGGTTTGAGTCTGATTGGGAAAAATGGGCTTTCCCAAAACCTTTAGGCTCATCTGTGTTAGGGCTGATGTTTTCTGCATTACCTCTATGAGGGGGTGCCAGTGGGCGATGGGCTTGCGTGGGTACGTCAACATCTCGTTCCAGTGATCTCGGCCCAGGCTCTCCGCCATGTTCCCCACCCGACACACACCAATGATCTCATTATGGCCTACGCTGTGGATGGCAGAAGAAATGCATGTATTCAGTTCAGTCCATGATAGGCCATAGATAAGTGACTGTGCTCTGTTTTGCTGAGGGGCCTTTGCTGAACACTCCCCCCCCCAAAAAAAAAAATAGAGCCGCACATCCAGGAACCAGTACTTAAAGAAAAATACTGAAGTTCTAAATGCTCTTAGAAGTCGCATTTTCCGCTTTTCACAATCCAAACCATTCTAAACATGTTCAATAATGTTGTTTTATTTACAAGTCATCTAGCTAGGATATCATTCTCTTTTGTGCAAAGTTTGGCCATATCTTTGTGATTCAAGTCACAGAAATTTGAAGCTGGGAGTCTATGATAGTACTAGCTTAATAAGAATGTCATTAGCTAGTAATAGTTCCATAGTTTCTTACTAATTATTAATACAGAGTGATGCCTATCGATCTGTCCTGCTGGCTAGGTCTTCCCCTAACACAGGATGCTACCAAGCTGGGAGGGTGAAAGCTAGCATGTGCTTCCTCTCAGATGCTTGGAGGAGAATGTTAACTGTTAATTCGGTCAGCTAACAGATACCAATCAAAAACGTCAATAACACATCACATGATCATGCTGAATGACCTCTTTTTAAATGATTGATTTCACCAGATCAATGGACACGAATATAGAGCAAAAGTGCATTGGATGGACAGCCAATGGCTGATTTGGCTACCAATTATTATTCTTCCTTATTAGCCTGTGTTCGTTATCATGATACCTATAGCTAGATTATTAATTTCTCCTCTCTTGACAGCCAGTAATTTTACACACTGTGCAGATTCCTTTGGGATCCAAATGATGAAAAATGTTACAAAATACAAGTACAACTGTATAAGCTAGGTAAACATGAATATTCAAAAGCGTAGGAACTTAAATGTATTGCAAAGAACCAGAGACAGATACATAGATAAATAGATAAAAGATAGATAGAAAAAGAATGGCTGCTGGAAAACTACAAACACTATACAAATGCTGCAACTATGAGTCATTCTACGGAAATGTCCATTTTTCTTGACCCATCAATTTAGCAATATTGGTTTTTAAATCAATTACATAGAATTCAGAGCATAGTGCCATATTTACATGTTTTTCTGCAGTTTTAACTGCAATAATCTATACATGACTATGAAATATATAATTATTTGACATAATGAAAACAAATGCCAAATAAATATTATAAAATATATGATGAAAACTGTGGTCACCAGGAATCATGTCATTGGTGTTACTGCGTAACAAAAAATCTCTTATTTTGAAATAAAAATCACACTGATGACATCACTTGAAGTCCACGGTGTCTTTTCAGTTATCAGAAATTTTCTCAATTAGCTCATGATTTCATATGAAGCTTTTAGTTGACGTCACTGGTGTGACCTACTTTATTCTTAGGTAATCGAGAAAAAATAGAATACGAGTGGATTAAATTACATATTTTAGTGGATATTCCATGGTTGACAACATGTGGTTTGACCAATGAGGATTGGTAACACCAGTGACTCCTATAGATAGATTAAAAAAGTGGACGTTTCTGTAGAATGACCCAAATAACACATTGCAGATGACTTCATATAGTCAGAAAGTTGTATTAACAATGTATTAAAAAATACAAGTCGCTAATTAGGCTAACTGGCGGAGTAACCGAATGTGTTGGATGCGACTTGAATTGCTTTTGAGTTGCTTTTGTGTAACTATCCAGTTGCACAGATATTAAGTTGCATGCAACTCGCAACTTCAGGCACTGTGTCTGAAAGTTTCACTGTGAAGGCAGCTCAAAAAGCTTCTTCAGGTCTCTCATTTCACCAGAGGCCTACGGACAAAGCGTGAACTCGACTGCACCCCACACTGGGAGAACATCTGAGAAGAGACGTCGCTCCAAGCTTTTAAGGCCACCATGACTTCACTTTAAATGAAAGTGCAGCTTTAAATGCTTCCTATTCTCTAGCACACAAGGTTCCCTCAGAAACGCTCTTTAACGTCCCAGGACGCGGCATCACAGAGCTGATCTTATTTGAAAACTAGCCTGCTACTTGCAGCAATTCTTGATTGAGACCTTAATGCGCGTTGTCCCAGTGTGCATTGTGGCGGGGCTGAGAGGTCTAAAGGATGGGCGGGTAACGATGTTTGGCAGATTATATCATCTCATGAAATATTCACTCTTAACAACACGAGGAAGCCAAAGCCTACTCCATTTCTTTCCTTCCTTCTCGCTCACTCTTTTATTATCTTGCTCTCTCTCTCTTATCCTCTCCTCCACTTTGTTCTTTAGCTGTCTTCCTCGACCCATCATCGGTTTATCTTTTACTGCGAGTGGTGAATGCTCCTCAAACTGGGCAGCATCTCTATGCATGATCTGAATCTGTTGCTGAGCGATCACCACAGTTCACAGTGCATTTCTGTTCTGCCTCTAAACAAATTTAGCCAGAATACAAAAGATCTTTTTTAAATGAGACGCCTCTTCAGCTCTGACTTCGACCCTGAACGCTGACAGCAGCCCCCTCCTCTCCAAAATGTATTCATCAGCTTCCAAGAAGAAACAGGAAAAAGCTCTCTCTGCACTATCAAAGGGTTCTTTGTGCGCCACCGTAGAAGAATCACTTTTCGTTTCCTGAAGAACAATGTTTGAAGAAAAGACTTCTGAGTGAACCTTTTCAAGGGTCCATATCAACACTGAATACTGAGTTCCTCTTGTGTTTTTGAGTTTTAAAACATGCCAGTCACCATACAGGCCACATATGGAAACTAAGCGCAAAGTTAAATCATTAATGCACTTAATAATCCATTAACTATGAAAGTCCGGAGAGGCCATGAGCTGTTGTTATAATTCTCTGGATTATTATCTTGAGATAACACGTTAATCATCTTGCGATCTCAAGATAATAACTTCGATATCTTGAGATCACAAGATGATTAACTTGTTATCTCAAGATACCAACTTTGTTATGTTGAGATCACATTCCAGCTCTCTTCATAGGATTTCTTAATTTGATTTCTAGACCTTATTCTGATCAATCAACTTTGTTATCTTGACATCACAAGACAATTAACTCATTACCTCAACATAACAACGTTTTTATCTTGAGATCACAAAATAATTAACTCGTTATCTCAAGATAGCAAAAGTTGTTATCTTGAGATAACAAGATAAGTAATTATTTTAAGTCATTATTTTTTGAGAACAATTTTGTTATCTCGAGATCACAAGACAATAAACTCCTTATCTCAAGGTAACAACTTTGTTTTCTTGAGCTCACAAGATAATAAACTAACTACCTCAAGATAACAACTATATTATCTTGAGATCACAAGATATTTTACTTGTTATCTCAAAATAACAATCCAGAAAATTCTAACTACCCCATGGCTTCTTTGGACTTCCGTAGAAAACTGCAGAAAATTGTTGTCAGTAATCAAATCAACGTGTTTACATGCACTTGAGTAATCAGATAATGGGAAACTCCAGGTCTACATGAGTCAGACAGTAACTGGATTTCTGCTTTGCAACCAGCCAATAAACTCTCAGAATAAGATGTGATGTAAACATAATGTAAAACTTCATGACATGGCTTATTTTTAATATCGAGACACTTACCTGAAAATATGAACATACATCATCTAGAAGATGAAGAAAATTTAAATCCTTATTTCGTCAAACATATATTTGGTTTTAGCGTCGTTCCAAAAGTGTTCTGCTGCCAACACGTTCTGTTTTCGCACGTGTGCAGACTGAAGGATTGGAAAGAAATCAGAGTAAGAGTTTACATGCACTGAGAAATCTGATTACTGAGCTAAAATCCAGCCTCTTTTAATGAGATTTCTAAATCAGATTTCTAGACCTTACTCTGATCTAAGAAATCGGAGTATGCTGTTTATATAACCATTTGAATAATCAGATAACTGCAGAAATCAGATTATGATCAGATTATTGAGAGCATGTACTCACACTCATTGTGTCTGTGATGTCACACGACCCAACTCATTTACACATATTCATCTATTCATCGTAGCACATCCACTCACACTGACGTTCTAAACAGTGTCTCATCTCTGAGGGCCTTTTGAATGAGGTGTAAAACAGGGCAGCCAATCAGAACAAAGCTCATTTAAATATGTCAATCCTAAAAGCACAGTAACAAAAAAGTCTGTTTAATTCTAAGGGACAAAGAGAGGTTCAAAAATGTCACGACGAGCTGAAACCATTTTGGTGAGGAAAACCACAAAAATAGTATAAATGGAATATAAGGGAAAAAAATAATAAGTTCTAAACCAAGTTAAGGATTTTCCTGGAACCTTTACATTATGTGGACTTCAAAAAGTTCTTCACACTCACAACACACATCTCATTTACAAATTTGGGTTCTCTAAAAAACATCCATTAAAAGATTCTATAGAGAACCAAAAGTGTTTTTTCTATGGCGTCTATGGTGTTTTTAAGTGTGTGGTTACTGAATTGCGCAGAAATGAAGTCTTTCTCACCGATCATAGTCCATCACTGCTATTAAAAGACTGATTTGGTCTATGTTCTCGGGAGGGACGTCAAACACTATGGCTTCGTTGTAGACAGGGTTGAGTGTGTTCCGTTTGGTGGACGTTTTCCTCTTTTTCAGTCTCCGTCCATCACACATGAGGGAGACCTTAACGTAGGGATCTGAAACCACAGACATCAAACTCACTTTACTGCAGGTCGTCACTGCTAAAACAAAACCTCATATCTCGAAAAAGGAAAAGGAACAAGAGAAGGAACATTTTGACATTCATGTATTATAAAAGGGAAGTCCACCAAATTTCTACGTCTCTGAATAATTCAAGGCTAGACAGCGGCATTCAGAGTGGTTTGATGTGAAATGTGCCACTGTACAGAAATGTAGCGAGTCAGAATCGTTCACAGTGTTGGTGACAGGAACCAGACAAACTTAATAAAATAAAGTGTAAAATATAAAATGTGTCATAGCCTTTGCAGAACCCATATTTAATGTTTTTTTTTCCCTGATATGTTAAATTCAGCAAATAAACAGTGATTGTGCATTAAAATGTGCAAAAAATGTTCTCTGTAGAGGATGTGTTCACTTTTTTTCACTTAGAAAATCAATAAAACATGTCCTTTGACCAATGGTGCCTAAACTTTTGGATACAACAGTACCTACAGAGCGTTGAAAGGCAAAAAAGTCCCCAAAGAGCACTTATTTTTTCAGATTTATCACCACTGTACCATCATAAATGTTACATATAGAAACTCAGAAGACTCGTGTAGGCTCACTGGTGGTTTTGGATAGTAAACAAAATGGCTGTATTTGTGTTGTAGACAAAATGACCCCTGGTTCCCATCACCACCACTGTAAAGAAAGTCAGAAAGTTTCTCTTACAACCATTTCACCTTAAACTACTTTTAGTAACTTTGTTTACATCTTAGCGAATTAATTATGCAGAAATTTTTAAAAATTGGTGGAATTTTCCTTTGATGTAACAAAATGTTTGGTTGATTGATCTGCTCTTCTTAAAATGTTCTCACTGTCATTTTGAAATGGTTATAAAAATAGTTTTTAGATATTTATGAAATATTATATATATTTTTTGCTCAGTCTGATGAAGCATTAGGTGACTGTGATATATATATATATATATATATATATATATATATATATATATATACAGCAGTCAACAGTCTAATGCTGCATCAAACTGAGCAAAAGAGGCTGTTTAAGCAAACACAGAACCTTGTGGCACAAACTCACAAACTCACATCTCAGTAAACATCACTCAGTCAGACATCTAATACAATGAAGATTAAAATGAAGACGTTGAATACCAGAGGCTCCTGTGATGTCCATGGCTTTTAGGTTTCTGGCTTTGATGATTGTAATGGTCAGTCGGCCAGCAGTTGGAAGATAGCAGAGAGAAAACATCAGGTCGCCCAAGTCCACATTATCCTGCAATGCAATCACACATGATAAGAATAATCAGAAACTACTCATTTTTAAGAAGAAATACTTCAGAACAAACATTCCAAGTATCAGAGAGGAATTCCATCTGTTTTTCAAATTTTCCGGATGATACAATTGTTGAGATGCAAACAAAGTCATTGACACTGTTCTGATGTGAACTGGTCCATTGTACAGAAACTGATTTCTTTACAGTGGTGGTGATAGGAACCAGAGGTCACAATGTCTACAACACAAATATAGCCATTTTATTTACTATTCAAATATACCAGTGAATAATGTTAATAGTGGTAAAATAGTGGTAAATCCAAATTTGGGATATATTTTGCTTTATAAAGTACCTTACATATATTCATCCACCTTGAAACTATTGTAAGACGGTGTTATCAGGCATCAGGCAGTGATTTCATTACCATTTAATGTAATGCTTTACGTAGTTTTTAGAGACATTAAATGCTTCAGATGTCTGGTTCCTGTCACCACCGCCGAGAACAATTCTGACTCAGTTTGTCTAGAACAATGTAACAATTGGTGAATCAAAAAATGTTGAAATTCCCCCTTAACAAGCTCATTGCTATCATTTACTAAAGAAAAAACACAAAACCACATAATTTGTCTTCAGTGTATTGAGCATTTTTAAATGGTGGGTGGTCATTCAGGCCTGTGCTTGTTCCTGATGATTTGCAAAATCTTATGAGCCATGATTTTAGATATATATTATATGACAGGCAGGGGTCTTAAACTTAATTATGTGAAGGCCACTAGCCAGGTCATCTTCTCCAACAGGGTGTCATATTTTTTTAAGTAATAATTTTAACTACATCATATATATGCACTAATTTAGTCAGTGTTTGTTAGCAATTTTTTCATCACTACAAACCACAGCTACTACATCTTTTACTACTAGGAGTTGTAACAATAATATTAATATGTAACAATTATTATTGTTATTATTATTATTATTAGTAGTAGTAGTAGTAGTAGTAGAAGCAGCAGTAGTAGTAGTAGTGGTGGTAGTAACTACAGGCTCCTGCAGATGGCATTGAGGATGATTGGGCTATAAATATCTGCAGGGTATGTGGTGGGATTCATAGATTGAGAAAAGGTGGTACAGTGCAGTGAAAGTCTTGTGAGTTTACATTGTGTTTAATAAACTCATTATTATTATTATTATTATTATTATTATTATATTTTTGTGTTCCAATTAAATAAAGTAAAATGATTTTGAACAGCGCAGCGAAATCTTATTGTAACAGCGGTGGCATTCCTGCTGAACACAAGTGAAGTTAATGGGAGTGATATGTTAGTAAAGTGGTTAATTCTGGGTTTTCAGTGGATTTGTTTGATATTTCCATTCATTTTCTGACATGCTTTATCTACTACTCTGTCATGAATGAATCCACAAAGCAGATTTAACAGTCAGATTAGAATAATTGCTACATTAGTTATAACTAAATTACAGTCTTGCTCACTGAGTGCACAGTGTTTACACTGAGTCGAGTTTTTGTTTGAAAGGTTTCTCTTATGTGCAGTGCTCTATTGTTGCTTTGTCAACATCAGCCTAAAATGATATTAAAAAGTTTATGTTGGGAAACGAGCCACAGTGTCTGGTGGATGAAGCAGATCTACCCGTCAGATGTAAATAATACCCGCAGATATGTGGCTAAATAAGTGACGGGCTGTATTACGCTGTATCTGGTGGTTTGAGACCCCTGGCCTAAGGTTTTACCCCAGCCACTAGTTCTCTGTTTATTATCAGCTCTGGATAAGTAACAGCATTCTCTCACACTTCTGCTGGAAAGTGTCAAAATCAGCCAGATGTGCTTCCAGATTGGCACACAGCTGCCTGTAATTGCAGTGTAAAGCTTCCTAAAGGCGTGTGGGACGCTCCTGCGGCTGACTCTGATGTGTGGAAATTTGGACTCGAATTTGGAAGAAGCAGTGGGTAGTGTGGGAACAGTTGAGCGTTTTGAGAGGCAGTCCCCCATCAGGGAATCCTGCTCCCCCTGCTCTAGTTTTGCTTTTCTCACCCTCAAGTGGAGACCTGCTCTCTAATTAACACCTCCCTTAAAATAGCACAATTTTCACACGAACACGCAACCGCGTCACACAAATTCAGTTTAGAGGTTTTTTTTTTGTTAATTGAGAAAATACTGAGATAAAAAAGTCACTTGGCGTTTGGCTTAGAGTTCTTGGAAGGCGTCTTGGGTTTAATATTTGGGTTTAAAACTTGGGTTTAATATTTGTGTGTATAATTTGATATTACGCTGAAGTGTAGAGCTTTCAGACCTGGGAGGTGGGGGACAGTGGGAGCAGGTTTTGCTAAGTAATTTGAGTAAGATTAATAACTGTTTTATACAAACAACTTCCACATTTCTGTTACAAATGAAAACTAAGCTGTATTCCCAGCACCTACTACTAGTGAGCCGTTCAGCTGAAAATGGAGACCAAATGTTACAAAATTTTACAAGTAACAGACTTAGAGGCCCAATAGTTACAGCAGCTAAAAAGTCTGGTAAATTGATACAAACACAATAAAGTCAACACAATTCCATGTTGTTAAATATATGAACGTGATTAGTGAACAGAGGCTGCATCATATGTGGTGCATTCTGTGTCATGAATAAAACACTCAGCTTGTCTAGATGGCGTTTACATGTTGGATTATATTTATTAGGTACTCAAGAAAACTTATTTTTCTTTATTTACTGCACATATTTAGTATTTCCTATCATATAATTATGCTAAATGCTACCATTTTGCCGAGAGTCCGACGGTTTCCGTCCGCTCTCTCAATAACATTAACTCAGACTGTACCTGACCACACAGCGGCAGATGAGTGATTACTAAAAGAAGCGGCTCAGTTGTTCAGGTAAGTGGCTTTGTTAGTGTTTTTGATACCACAGATTCTGCCATTAGCATTTTTACTGCTGCTTGTCGTCCCACACTCCAAAGTGTTGTTAAGTTCTGTCTCCTGCCGTTCATGCACGCATCAGAAATTGCTTTGTGGTGTTCGTCATAGGTGTCCCCATCACCAATACCGATACTCTGTTTAAGTGCCTGTATTGGCGCTGATACCGATACAGTATCAGTATCGGTGCGACACTAGTTAAAGCTAACCCCGCCGTGTGGAGGCTGTACCTGGCTAACTCTCACTGTGGCTTAAACCCTTCAAAATGGTGCTATATTCCAGACACCAAGAAGGCAAAAATATAACAGATATAGGTGTGTTTTGACATACACACTCAACTCAGTTAGTGAAAAACTGATATGATAAAAGTTACTTTAATGGTACAAAAAAAGTGTTCAGGTGAATCTCGAGAAATGATTGCTGTCAAAATTTGCATATGAAATTGCTATGGGAATATATTAAGATAACTAAAAGCATGCTGTATTACATAAAATATCCATGTTATGTTTTCCCCTGTGGTAGACTGTGATCTGCTCTTTCTTACTACACTTAAAAAGATTTATCGTTCAGTCAGACAACTGAGAAAATGCTGAGTCAAAATGATTTACTGAGAAGAGTTGAGGGATGTGAACTCTGGGGTGGCATCTGATGTCAATTTAATATTTTTGTGTATGTTTTCATTTACCCTGAGATGCCTTTGGGCCTAGGAGCTATTACACATAGATTTTTTTTCAAGTGTAATAGATTTTTCATTTGGCCTTATCATTTAGACTAAACACCAGTCAGCAAAGGGGTAAAGGACATTCTTACTTTTTGCTAGAAGTTGTCTGGCTGAGGAAACTAATCCTAATAGAAATAACCCACAGTTCAGTTCAGTCAGGCATGTTATATAACACTTTGAAGAGAGCCTATTACAGTCGTGCTACTCAGAATCTTTATCACTTCAGCAACTATGTTTCTGACTTTTAATATAGATTGATAACAGTCCACCATACTCATGCTTTCCAATAATGCAGGGATGACATTTTTGAAGTGCCAATCTTTTTGCATCGTAATCAATTCATTGAATAAATATTTAATTCTAGATTTGAAACAACAACTTTCTTTCTAAAACTAGTATCTAATGTGTTATTTGTTGCATTATTGCGGTATTCTGGAGTGAATTACATCCCTCAGCCTCATCGGTTTGACAGCGTTCATGATATTATATTGTTTTCATGTTTTCATCCGTCAATGCCCCGCATGTCTTACGCAAATACATCATATAGTCATTAGGAATCTCTGTGGGGTCAGGCAATCTTGACTGCTAGCCTAGCCACTGATCTACAGGCTAATATACAACCAAGCTAACATTAGTGTAACTCTTACCTCAGTTGTCCAACAAAATCATAATGAAAACAGTGATTCTTTATTCAGAATATCTCACTCTAATGACTACTGCAGCGCCACTATACACTGTTAGAAATAAAGATTCTGCACAGGTACATTTTTGTTCATTAAGGTACAAACAATATAAATGTACCCTCAAAGGTACAACAGTGGTTTTAAGGTCCAGTTATCCTAAATAGGTTTTTCCCAGTGGAAAAGTACATATCCTCCTGGGCCAACTGGCCACACTGCCAATGCCTAAAGAGGTCATGACAGTTCCCACATGCTGGGAAAATGTACACATCTTGTTCCAGTGGGTTTGGGGACTACCCATCTTCCACCACCCGACACAGGTGAGAAGGTATTCAACCTCCCGCTTAAAGAGGGCTTTGCATGTACTCAGTAAGGAGCCATCCGATCTTGATGTAATACGTCCTCTAGGAACCATTTTGATCTGATGTCGGCTGGTTGGCCATATGCTTGGGCTGAAGGATGCAAAGCTCTCTACCCAGCATTAGCAGCCATGGGGTGCACCCAGTGGACTCTTGCATGGCTGAATGGCATGCCATTAACACCAGCCGCTGCTTCAGATCCCAAGCTTTCTGGTCCTCGGAAATGACCAGAGCCAACTGTGCCTCTAGTGTACAATTAAAGCGCTCTACCAACCCGTTGCTTTGTGGGTGAAGTGGTGTGGCTCTTGTCTCGTGGA